GCCCATCCCCCCCAGGTGCGCACGGCCGTGGCGCGGGGGGACATCGTCTCGGCCGAGATCGCCTCGCGGGAGGCGCGGAATTTCTCCTTCATCAGCCTGGCCGTGGGCATCGCCGCCATCGTCCTGTGCACCATCCTCACCGTGGTCATCATCATCGCTGCCCAGCACCAGGACGACGGCTGGGACCCCTGAGAGGCCGAAAAATCCCAAAAAAAACCCGGGGGAAGGGGCTTTGTGGTCGCCATGGCGATGCTGGCCATCCCAGAATGAGACCAATGGTGAATGGGACCCCTGAGAGGGCGAAAAATCCCCAAAAAAAAACCGGGGGGAGGGGCCTCGTGGTCACCATGGTGATGCTCGCCATCCCAGAATGAGCCTCATGGCGACCAGGACCCCTGAGATGCCAAAAAATCCCCCAAAAAAACCTGGGGAGGGTCCTTGTGGTCGCCATGGTGACGCTTGCCATCCCAGAATGAGCCCCCTGTTACCATGACGACATCTGGGACCCCGGAGACCCCAAAAACATTCCAAAAAAAAAACCTGGGGGGTTTTGGGGGGGTCCCTGTGGTCGCCATGGTGACGCCAACCATCCCATAATGATCCGGGGACGCGGTGAAGGTTCGGGGACCGGAGGAGCGTCGGCGTTGCCATGGCGACCGCGGTCAGTGTTACCACGGCGACGGTCGCCATCCCATAATACCAGCGGCAGGTCCTGGGCGTCATGCAGCGATCRTYGCCATGGCGACCATCCCAGCGGCATCGGCGTTTCCATGGCGACGGGGCGACAATGCCCGGATTTTGTCGCCACGGTAACGCCCAGCATCCCATAATGATAACGGCAGCACCGTCGCCATGGCGACCATCCCAGCGGCATCGGCGTTTCCATGGCAACGGGAAGAAAATCGCCCGGAGAGCGTTGCCATGGTGACGCCCAGCATCCCATAATGATAACGGCGTCCATCGCCATGGCGACGTCCAGCATCCCATAATAACCACGGCGGCACCGTCACCATGGCGACCATCCCAGCAGCKGCGTTGCCATGGAAACGGGGCCGGAATCGTCGCCACCGTGACGCCCAGCATCCCATAATAACCATAGCGACACCGTTGCCATGGCGACCATCCCCCAGCGTCAACGTTGCCATGGAAACGGGGCCGGACTCGTCGCCACGGTGACACCCAGCATCCCATAATAACCACAGCGTCGCCATGGAAACGCCCGGAACCCTCCCCCCTCCCCCCGCGGCTCTCCCAGGATGCTTTGCGGCCGCTCCTCATCTGCATCCTCATTTGCATGCCGAGCCCCGCCCCCTCCCTCTGCTGTGCCCCGCCCCCTTTGGACGGTCAATAAATCTCTATATTGATACGGGGGAGGGGTGATTGATATACTAATGAGGGGGCGGGGTTAGCGTGGTGGGCGGGGCCTGTGGGAAATCCCCCCATTCATTAATGAGCTCATTAACGAAGCTCTGCCCTCCCTAATTAAAGCCTCCTCGTTAATGAACCCCAATTAACGCCAGTGATACCCCGTCAAGATGGAGCCTAATTAAGGGCAATGGATCTTAATTAACTCCTCATTAACGAGCTTTCCCCAATAAAACCCCACTCATTAACACATTGCTAATTACAGCAATTGGCGCCCCCCCAAGAAAGAGAAATTGGGGAAATGGATTGAGCCCTAATTAACACCTCATTAACGAACTTCCACTCTTATTTCCCCCCCCGATAATTAACACCAGAAACATCGCTATCAAACCTATAATTAGCGTTAAATAACAAACGTATAATTGACATTAATTAATGAGGCACCCGATCACAAAGAAAACCAAACACACTCCGCTCATTAATGCTAATTTCATCGTAGTTAATTACCCCTAATTAAGCAAAGAGCCGGCCCAGCCCTTGAGCCAATCGTGCGTCCGGGTCAGGGGCGAGCTGGGCCTTGAGTGTGGCCTGCAGATCCATCATGGCGGCCTCCAGGCCAACTCCCCTCATTAACCCTAACTCCCCCTAATTAATTACCCCTAATTACCTCTAATTACCCCTAATTAAGCAAAGAGCCAGCAAGGCCACGGGGCTCTGAGTGCAGCCAGCAGATCCATCATGGCGGCCTCCAGGTCCATCATGGTGGCGTCCAGGTCCATCCCCTCACTAACCCTAACTCCCCATAATTAATCACCCCTAATTACCCTAATTACCATTAATTAAGCAAAGAGCTGGCCCAGCCACCAGGCCGATTCTGTGTCCCTGTTGTGGTCGGGCTGGGCCCTGAGCTTGGCCTGTAAATCCATCATGGCGGCCTCCAGGTCCATCATGGTGGCATCCAGCCTACTCCCCTTACTAACCCTAATCCCTGTAATTAATCACCCCTAATTACCCTAATTACCATTAATTAAGCAAAGAGCTGGCCCAGCCACCAGGCCGATTCTGTGTCCCTGTTGTGGTCGGGCTGAGCCCTGAGCTCGGCCTGTAAATCCATCATGGCGGCCTCCAGGCCCATCATGGCGGCCTCCAGGCCCATTCCCCTCACTAACCCTAACTCCCCATAATTAATTACCCCTAATTACCCCTGATTAAGCAAAGAGCCAGCCCAGCCACCAGGCCGATTCTGTGTCCCTGTTGTGGTCGGACTGGGCGCTGAGCTTGGCCTGTAAATCCATCATGGCGGCCTCCAGGTCCATCATGGTGGCATCCAGCCTACTCCCCTTACTAACCCTAATCCCTGTAATTAATTACCCCTAATTACCCTAATTACCCCTAATTAAGTGAAACGCCGGCCCAGCCCTTGGGCCAATCGCGCATCCTGGTCACAGCTAGACCAGGCCTGGAGCACGGCCTGTAAATCCATCATGGCGGCCTCCATGACCATCATGGTGGTGTCCAGGTCCAATCCCCTCACTAACCCTAATCCCTGTAATTATTTACCTCTAATTACCCTAATTACCCCTAATTAAGCAAAGAGCCGGACTAGCCAATGGGCCAATCGTGCGTCCCTGTCATGGCCAGGCTGGGCCCCGACTTTGGCCTGTAGATCCATCATGGCGGCCTCCAGGTCCAACATGGCGGCCTCCAGGCCCATTCCCCTCACAACCCTACCTGCCCCTAATTAATTACCCCTAATTAAGCGAACAGCCTGCCCAATCTCCTGGCCAATCTCGCGTCCCTGTCCCTGGCCGCCCCCCGGACTCTGCGCAGCTCCCGCCGGGCGCCGGTGTGGCTGGGCTGAGCCCTGAGCACGGCCAGCAGGTCCATCATGGCGGCCTCCAGGTCCATCATGGTGGCGTCCAGGTCCAATCCCCTCACTAACCCTAATCCCTGTAATTAATTACCCAAATTTCACTAATTACCCCTAATTACCCCTAATTAAGCAAAGAGCCAGACTAGCCAATGGGCCAATCGTGCGTCCCTGTCATGGCCAGGCTGGGCCCCGACTTTGGCCTGTAAATCCATCATGGCGGCCTCCAGGCCCATTCCCCTCACAACCCTACCTGCCCCTAATTAATTACCCCTAATTACCCTAATTAAGCGAACAGCCTGCCCAATCTCCTGGCCAATCGTGCGTCCCTGTCCCTGGCCGCCCCCCGGACTCTGCGCAGCTCCCGCCGGGCGCGGGCGTGGCCGGGCTGAGCCCTGAGCACGGCCAGCAGGTCCATCATGGCGGCCTCCAGGTCCATCATGGTGCCCTCCAGGTCCATTCCCCTCACTAACCCTAATCCCTGTAATTAATTACCCCTAATTACCCTAATTACCCCTAATTAAGCAAAGAGCCGGCCCAGCCGCCAGGCCAATTGCACATCGTGGCTGGAGTGGGCCCGGAGCACGGCCAGAGATCCATCATGGCGGCCTCCAGGACCATCATGGTGGCGTCCAGGTCCAATCCCCTCACTAACCCTAACTCCCCCTAATTAATTACCCCTAATTACCCTAATTAACCCTAATTACCCCTAATTAAGTGAAAAGCCGGCCCAGCCCTTGGGCCAATCACACGTCCCTGTTGTGGCCGGGCTGAGCCCTGAGCGTGGCCTGTAAATCCATCATGGCGGCCTCCACGACCATCATGGCGGCCTCCAGGTCCATCACCTCACTAGCCCTACCTCCCCATAGCTAATTACCCCTAATTACCCTAATTAAGCGAACAGCCGGCCCAATCTCCTGGCCAATCTCGCGTCCCTGTCCCTGGCCGCTCCCCGGACTCTCCGCAGCTCCCGCCGGGCGCCGGCGTGGCCGGGCTGAGCCCTGAGCACGGCCAGCAGGTCCATCATGGCGGCCTCCAGGTCCAT